TGACGTTACTCGTTCACTTCATTTTCATGCATTTTATGGGCAAAAGTCACTTTTTCATCAATCTGCTACTAACCTTATTGTATCGGTCATTTCTTCCCTCCTGCTTGCTACACGTTTCAAACTTAATTGCGAGTTCTGCTGTGTGCATTATTCTACTTTTTGGAACCGCGGTTACATGCATGTACCACCAAAGCTTCTGCCAAAGATGTTTTCTCCCCTGACCGTGTGAAAAGTATGACTTTAAACTCAAAGTTGCATTATTCATGCACGTTTCGTGCCATGTAATTATGTCTAATGCATTTTCGTCGCTACTGCGTCCATGTTGATTTTGCGGTTAGTTTACCAATCCATTACACAAGGACCCAGGGTATCGTAATAGACCAGCTGAATGAATCAAGCGCTTGTATGTACTCCGTTGGAGATGTCAAACGGCAATCCATTCCGGCAAATCCAACGTGTTCACCTCTGCCTTTAGTTATGCCAGGCGGGCTGACAACCTTTAACGAGCCCCCCCCCCGGGACTAAGTTGTAGGAAATCACTTTCATATATTTCTGTATTGCAGATGCATCACACAAACCGAGTGCACGCTGATTCACCATGGTAGACAACACACAACATTGATGACAGAATGCTGTCACGCCACCTGGTTGTGCAAATCCACTTTTTCTGGGTAAGTCATATGTTGGCCTTTGGAAGAATGGCTGTTTATTTTGCTATACACAGAAAATTCACTATGAGGTCACTAACATTTCAATAACCACTCTACTGCAGTGATTCGCTGGAAGCTGTGCTGGTGCCAAATTCATGAAGAACTGCGTTCACAATGTGTGGCGCTGATCTAGCGGCACTGGGAGTCAGGTAACCGCTTTTAAGAACAGCGGTAGGTTGATTTAATTTCAAGCCATCAACATCGTGGACCAGTAGTTAACTGACTCAAGGTAATGCGATGATCGATGTTTTCTTATTGTATCTCTTAACGTTATCATTGTATTAACAAGGTTGTCTCTTTTATTGTTGATAAGAGGAAACGGGAGTTGAGTAAAATGTGTACGCCAGGCGGTACTTTGTGTCGGATCATTTATTGCTTTCCTACTGAACTGCGATGCCGTAGAAGTGGGCTAGTGATATACAGAGTGAACTATGGGTCTAAATCGCACAAGGCAATGCTGAAAGGGTGCTTAAGTAGGCACTTCGGTTGGCCGAAGCTCCGTGATTGGTTAAGCGGGCTGAATGTTTATTGGCTGGCTGGTCGCAGATGTTTGGGCGGTAGGCAAAGCCCGAAAAGGAAGGCCACCTTAAATGAATTGGTTCAAGCTGTCGATGCCACTGACATCAATTCGTCACGATTTATCCATGCGTCACAGTAGTGTGACAATTGTTATCTGTCACTTGAAATCTGAGCCTGTACACCAAATCTAGCAAAAGAATTTGACAAAATATCTGTTGCGGTGGAATGAGGTGCATCAACCTAAATAAACAATAAGCACACTTCCCACGCGCATTGCGCAATGCATCGGAAGTCGCAAATTCGGTTTGTAGCAACCTATCTCATAAGACCACGGCATTATCTACTAGCCCAAGTAAGGTGCAAAAAATAAGGACCCCAATTTAAGAGCACCCACGGCACTTTCAGAGGGCGCACAGCTTCTGTGTTGCAAGAATAATGTAACCGCGTTAGTTGCTGTTATTAGGAAAATAAAGTACTTCAATGAACAAAGAGTATTATACGTAAATAAAACAACCTAAGATGTGATTGAAAACTTTCAGTCCAGTCACGCTCATTTTCCTAAAATATGACGTTGCACTGCTTAAAGAAATCCTGTGCATCAGAGGTATGGCTACTGCATGTTGAAGCAACCACTTTCTCAGACACTTGCAGCCAGAACAGAATCGAATTCCCCCTTAAGAGAAACATGTTGCTCCATAGGTCTTTTCAGATGGTTCTTACGGCTAGCAAATTGAGTTCAGCGGACGCGAACGCCCCAAAACATGTACCCTTCCTTGTGTTACCAATCAACCAATATCAAAACAGATAGGTACACGGAATAAGATGCTAGATGACGCGTGAGCTCAGACGCCCGTGTGGTACCTTGGGACGCGTCGCACATAGCTCGCGCGTTGAAGTGTGGTATATAGCCGCGCTCAACACTGAAATTCAGCAAGGGTTGGCAAAATTGAAGCTAGCTCCACGCAAGCTAGCAGACATGTTCGTCAAACTCACGTGGAAAGACATATGCTTAGCAGTGTCCACGTGTAACCGTGTGTGAGTGATAGTGGGAAATGCTGTACGTGGAACTTACTTAAGGCTTCATATGCGCGCGGTGTGTTCGCGTACTCTACCATTGCACCTTTACCCCATTGCTTGAGTCCATAATACCATTACATGGCTCTTTAAGCATCCGAGTTGCATCCCTAAGGCAATTAAACCTGGTCCTTAAAGCAATTGAATTGTTTCCAGTGGCTTTGCGAAGCACTATGCGCGCAGTGTTCTTGGAATTGTGCTGGCCCAAATCAACCAATGAGGGTGGATGTACTCACTCTTGCATGGATAGTATGGGTTGATGATGGAGACGCGTGGGCGTTCTATGCTTTATTTAGCGACCAGTGGCTACTCAGAAGCTATTTGTACTCAGGCTAGGACACAAAGTTGTCCAAACTCACTTGGTGCGACTGGGTTGAGGGTTGAGTGGACATAAGTGGGCTACCATGTACACAAATGTATGCTTTGAACACGATACCAGTGGTGGTGGAAGGCACCTAACACGACAGTGCAACAATCGATTACCAAGTTTGGCAGTGTTTGAGCTCACAAGTTGCGCAGCTTAAGTGTTAGGATGGCCTATTAGGGGTTGGGTTTAGAAGGAGCATACGACTGCACAGGCGGGGTAGGACAGCCTGGTTTAGATGGACCCGATAGCCAATCAGGTGTTGCATTTTCGTGTTAGCTGCCTCCCAAACCCCACTGGTGCCGTGTTCGAAGAATGCATTTGTGTACCCGGTAGCCCCATTATGTCCACTCAACCCTCAACCCAGTCGCACCAAGTGAGTTTGGACAAGTTTGTGTCCTAGCCTGAGTACAACTAGCTTCTGAGTAGCCACTGGTCGCTAAATTAAGCATAGAACGCCCACACGTCTCGATCATCAACCAATACTATCCATGCAAAAGTGAGTACATCCACCCTCATTGGTTGATTTGGGCCAGCACAATTCCAAGAACACTGCGCGCATAGTGCTTTGCAAAGACACTGGATCCAATTCGAATGCCTCCATCAAATGTCTCAGTTGGGACCACGCGTCAGGTCAGCTTCTCGTGCATGGCAAGAAGCATCGGCTGCACAATGTTGATTCTATGAATCAAGTTTATGGTCAAACAAACGGCGAATCCGCCTTATTCCCGGTGTAGTTAGTGCCTTAACAAGACACTGACTACATACTAACTGATCCGAAAATTACAGCACATCCGGTAAAGAACCGAACAATAGTTACATCCTCTCAGAGCTCACTGTTTGTTAAGTATTTACTCTCATTGTTGATCGTCTAAAATCAGCAATTACACTCTCTTAAATAAATCCTCTTGACCACTGGACCATGGAAGATGGGTGTCAGCTGCTTTAAAGGATATCCATTTTCCGCTACCATACACGTTTCCCAATCGTTGCGGCCTAAGTATATATGTGTTAACCCTTCGAAACCGAGCGAAATCACCATTGGACTACTCCCTATGATCACGCTTCTCAAACCTTATGGTCTGTGAAATACTGTGTTTGAAAGCCCACACGGCAGACTCTCTGAAATATTGCTAACCATACTTGGGTAAACGCCGCTCTTTGAATATAAACGGACGTCGCCACCGTCGTTTGCAATGCAGAATTCCAGGAGAGTTTTACATCAGGGTTGAATGACACCACGATTGAGCACGGATGGCGACGATGGAGTGATTCACACATTCTGACTATTTTATGGAAGACGAACTGTCAATCTGTATTTTCAACACTGACCTTGAAAGTGGCCAATTCTCAGATCAACAGTAAGACATCCAAATGATCAACTATTCAGCCATTTAGTCTGGGTATGAGAGTAAACCACGTCGGTATACTGTACGGTATTATACGACACGGATTATAAGCAGCCCAAGTGCACGAAACACAGAACGCCGCTACCTGTCTCGGATGCATCCAGGTTTGCATTGTTTAGATATTAACCACGGCCACCCTTTCTGTTCTGTTCGGTATCCGGGATTTACTTGCGCGATCGAAATAGAGGTGTTCCAATGAGGTGTTCTGACCAACCACGGATTAGGGGCCGGAATCACCAGTCGTGTATGAGACTAGTCACAAGTTAGAGCGTTTGCCAATTTTACTACAGGGCCACAAGCTACAACCGAACAACAAATTAATTAGCGTAAGGAGTCTAGTGCCTGTATTCATTCAAGAAGCACCTGGGAGCACGGTAACTGGACGTCGCGGGTTTCTTATTGCGAACGTGAATGTTTACCTGTCGCTCCCCAGCCTACTGTTTAAACGGAACTTAGATGCGTATTTGGCACCCGTCTGCGGTTCACTCGCCAGACTCATCCTCCTACTTTGAGCTTGTTGGCGCGCAGTCGTTGCTTGTGCTCCTGATATGCAAATCGAACGATTCCCAATAGTGGGCTGACTGTCGGCTGAGCAAAACTTCCGTGTACGCAACAATATGTCTAAACTGGTAAGTAGCAGTGGTAACCAGTTATCGAAGGACAGGGCACACCAATGTGAAACAGATAAGAACCCCAAGGCGTCTAAAAAGGAGTAAAAAGCGGCTATCTCTATGTACGCGCACCGTATTGATATCGACATGGTTGCCGGGTGTCCGAATCGCTAGAATGAAGTCCCCGGTACCGACTACTCTAGCAGTCTGCAAGTTTTACTTGACTTACGTAAAGGTGGTACTGGTAGGCAACTCAGTAGGCGGCAAGCATAATAGATGCGCGTTGAAAGCGAAAATGGCAGTGAGAACTTACACGGTGTACAGCATGGGTTGTTGGCGGGGGGGCATTGACTGGCATCTGGTGAACAAGGGATAAATGAGTGTATTAGGTTTTATGCGATGTCAGTAGAAATGCATTTCAAGCCGCAACTGGGCATGTGAACATGTTGGGTGCGATTATGATACAGGAAGGGTTATTTGGATAGAGCAAACAGATAATAGCTCAACTGTGGTCCGAGTTCTGTGTCACGTGGAGTGAAGAACCGGTAGTCCGCCTATGCCATTAGGGCAATCATAGCGATGGAGACGCTCACATCTTTCAAACATAGTAACTTATTGTTCCCCCGTCCACACTGCTTTATGATGCATGTTAGGTTTTGCCAGGAGGCAATCAAGTCTGGCAAGAAAAGAAACGCAAATAATGCGTAGTGCTCAAACGTAGAGCGGTTAGACCGGACCTCCAATTGCAAAATTTTAGGAATGACATTCTTTTTGTGAACCTGTTAAAATCTTAGCAAATGCTTGAAATTACTAGGACATTCTAAGCCACTGCCTTGAACACAACCCCCCAACTAAGCCTACCAGAGAACAAGGACAAAAGACACGCGTGACTGCAAAATGGAAGGCCGCTGCGCGTCACAATATACTAACACAGTGATCGCTCTCTGCACATTCAGAGGGTCTCAGTAGAGTCGAGGATGTGGTTGCACAGGGTAAATGTTAGATCCGTGTTAAATAGATCATCCTGGCCCTAGGACAGCAACGGCAGCCCAGCTCCCCGTTTCAACGGGTTTTGGTCTCAAGGCCTCATTGTTTGCATAGACGCCTGCGAAGGTTGGTGCGATAAACATGGCCTTCAAACGCGACCGTGCTTTGTGATTCCTGTCCATCGGGTTTATCGACACATGCTCAATTTCGTAATTTTATCGCTCTCTTGCTTAAGTTCCTCAGGTTTTCATTGTGCAACTCGCATCATGATTAGCTACAGTCGCGACATATTAAAAAACTGCGCGTTTTACGAATATGAGCCTATCACTTTTTCCGGGTCAGTGAATAATAAAAGGAAGACAAAGAAGTTCCACAAGAAAGTACCGTGCGCGCTGGAACGTTGCATATTAAAGGAAAAATCTCAGTCGCATAAGTATGCACATTTTGTATCAGGGCCAACCTCCGTTCGCTTGTGGGAACATTAGAGAGCTTAAAATTATGATAATCTTTAAGTACAATTAAAATCCTCCTAAGCATTAGGAACATAAAATGTAGGCTTTCCTATTTTCAAATGCTTTGAACGTAGCCTCCAGCGAAAGGAAGTCATGACGTTCGGAGACTAGCCATTGTCATCTGCTAAGGTAATACCCTGCGTGACAGTGGATGATACGTCGTGCTATATCCCAGTTAGCTTTTAAATTATGTAGCCCAGCCGACATTCCCCATGGCTCAGTGGTTTAAGCTGCTGGCTACTTTGCATCTGACTCCAGCGGTCAGGGGTTCGCGCACCACTACCGAGCCCCAATGGGGCGAAACGCGTCTGGTGCATTTCCGGATTAGGCTGTACTATGTAGCTTGTGAGCTGCGGGGACGAAAACCATTAAAACTACAATTGAAAGCTTCTTACCCATTAGTAGTATAACAAAATATTGCGAATACTCTCAACTTAGTGACGTTATGCTAAAGTAAACGTGTCTGCATAATGGCTTGAAAGATACATTTGTGGCCTTTGACGGATTTACAGTGCATTGCGTTGACTGCCCATGTACGCACAGTCATCGTGGCTTTCGGTTGTTCGAACCGTGAACTGCTGTTACGCCATCTGCTCGTTTCCGGAGTTCGACCTTCATTGGGACATCTTACAGACTGTGGCCAATCGTATGCAGTTTACCAGGTTTGGATTAAAGCTCTCCCATATTCACCAAAAATCCAGGTGTTCTTCAGGGAGCTATTTTCCTTATTTCTATTTTCTACTTACATTAACTTACTTCCCGTTCCAGAGGAAGCCATCCTGTTTGAGTATGCTGCTGGTGTGATCCTTGGTGTGCGCAATCACAGCATAGATACATCGGCTAAGTTGCAATGCTTCTTAGACAACCTCACAACCTGGTCCAAATACCGCTGTATTTCGGTCAACGCATTAAAGTACAAAGATGTTCTTTCATCGCTTTCTACGGAAAATCGTTCTCAGCAATTACTTTACTAACACCCGCATCTTTGTATTGACAACGTCATTAAAATAGCTAGGAGTTACACTAAGTCGTGAACTCACGTTGCCCTCTCACGTGATTGAAGCATTCAGTACAGTCCGGACACTAAAGTTCTATGCCTCCCGACCAAGAGTTTCATCCGTACTTCGTTATCGCTTACGTAATACCGCACTGGTTGCACTTCTCACTTGTGATATTTCCCGGATATTTAAACGGGTGATTCAAAGTGATCAACTGGTCACTGAAGCAAATGGCTTGATGTAGCGTAAGTGATACTGGAGTTTGCTGACATCAATATGCTTAATCACCTTCACTCGTGCGATAAACTGGTGTCCGAAATACACACTGATGATAGTCACTTCCGCCATAGTGCATTTTCAAAATATATCTCAACTTTGTCGACCAGATAAACGTACAAGGTCATTTATTCCCGTACACGGTCCTACCGTATTCCTCACGCTATTTGTGGGATCAAAATGTAATGAAACAATAACTCAATGCCAAACTAAATAGATGATATGAACTCTGTCATCTTTTCAAACTACTGTTGCCCCATATTTATTTATTACACCGTTATTTGATTTCATTTAGTGTTGGCGTGTGTATTGTGGCTGCATGTTCAATGTTCTTGGGTGCAGAAAGTGCATTGATGACTTTACTTGAATCTACAGCCTCAGGCGCAATTCCACCAACGGCAAGATTTGCCCTGGTTTGCTGATCAGAGTTGTCTACCTTTCAGCAAGCTATTTGCGCGCCTTGCTGTAACAATCGCGACGTGATCAACTTTTTATGGCGATACAAGATAGCTCAGGTTTTGTGAACCGTTGTGGGTAATAGTAATTCAGTGGTACCATGAATTGCGACGAACGAAAGATGGTCATCTAATTCTAATGTGATCAGAGTATGATGGGAGTAATCACTCGGGATTGCGAATTAGATAAGGCAGTGGGATCCGACAGTTACTCGGATACTAACCTAAACGCTAGTGTTAATAATCACACCAATTCTGGTACTCCGGTAGGGCTCAACACTGATTGGCTAACACTGATTCGTTACGCTCCAATCCACCCCTGGGTTTTTGTCCTTTCGTACCAAAGCCATGTCGCGTGCTTTGAAAACAGCAACGGGGCGAATGCAACACAAGTCGGATGCAGCCTGTGCAGTCTTTTTCATTGTTTCGTTCAACATATGTGTTAAGCCATTTATCCCCGAAGTGCATGCTTTCCCAACAACATGGCAAACCACTCGGCCCCACGAATACAACTGTCAGACCAGAGAGCTGTATGCCTCTCAAATGAACATGTACGCTACAGATCATTTGTGCTTAGTAGATACTGCATTCCGATTGAAGGGGTTATCCTGAAGCACGCATTGTGTGTTGATTGGTTTTGGAGCATGCGCCGTGTGTCCGGGCTGCGACACGCAATCTTGCTTGTGGCCACAGTTTGCTTTGAACCAAACCTTGGCTGTTTTGAGCAATGCGACTGCATTTGAAATGGAGAGATTCGGAGCTGACCTCTTCCAACACTGCGCTCCATGACCTACTGGTTCCTTCCTGATTTGAACTCGTCAGATAGATAGTTTGAGCTGAGAGCAGAATACGACTTCGTTTGACGGCAGGTATTCCAAAACCGAATAATAAACTTCTAAGCACTGTATTGACACAGATGTTGTGGAGCTCGCTTTAGTAACTCGTACGGGACAGCAATACACTGTGAACAGAAGACCGGATGGAACCCCGAAGGTTCCATTTACGAGCTGCAGAAACCGGAGGCGGGTCGCCAGCGGGCAAATGACAATATTCATGGGCTACATTCCGCCTGATAGAGACGTCAGCTTACAATGTGATCCGTGTGTGTGTGCGCAGCAAGAATCGGATGTGGCTACTTTTACCAGCCAAAATATAAGCGCTGAGAAATGACACCCTTCCCCACTGCATTTAGTGATCTCTCGTCTAACGATATCTGTAGCTGTCGTGTAAGTGACCTGGACCTGATCGGATGGCAACCAACATCCGGTCCTGTTGTGATTTGGATGCACACACTACTATCTCGTATGCTACAAGATGCTGAAAACCTTATGGCACTACGGAATCAGGGGTTCAGGCTTGAGAAGCAGTAAAATGTCAACTCCGGACTTCGGGTCCATGGACGAAATAGGATCGCACGATCGGTAAGTAACAACAGGAGTCAGTACTACCCTTCAGAATGGTAAGATGCGGTTCATTTTCACATCGGAACTTACGTGTTATTTTAATGACCTGGTCAGAATGGCAACCATAAGTCTCCGCTTCGCAGTCTCAGGATGCTAGGTGTAAATGCTGCGTAGGGGTTCTGATCACCTCACTAGGGAGAAGCGATGCGTTCCAAATGAGTCCCGATAAAATTAGCTACTCTGCGATGACTGACTTGGTGATGCTTGTAATGTTAGCTAGTATGTTTTGTTAACCGATATGAAAACATTAGTAAATTAGATGCAAACCTATAGATACATTCGGAAGGGTTCAATCAAGCGACTATATTTAACTGCCAACTGAATCCAACATTAGCAAAATTTACAGAATGTGCCTGCCCATATTAAAGAGAGACTAAGTATCGTAACAAAAGAATCGGATGTATTGTGTTTTTTCGTGCGTAACAAATCACAGAATAAAACTATTTGGCTTTCGCACTGCGTTAGCTAGTAATGTGCTTTCGCAATGTCGACCACTCACGAGTTGAGTGGTGTGCGCTTTACACTATGTTCGCGATGACCAAACAGGTTGTCCAGTGTGCATACAGGATTGGAATCAATTTGATTGTAATAAGCCGCACGTAGACATTGTTGACCTCTTCACACCTTCGGTGCATTTTTGCGAAGCGAGTATGTGCGTGAGACCAGCGGATCATTAGATTGATGTGTTCTACCTAGGGTTTCCCAAACCAGACAGATATTTTGTTCAGCTAGTGTTACGCCTGATACAATCGACTGCACTACTGCGCGCACTTTTGCAAACGGATACTGCGAAATGGGAGTTGCTGTATGCGTGACATCTGTATCAGTGGTGTACACGAAGTAACAAGACCTACAGTTCATTGTACTAGCGGTATTGAGTTGTAGCTTTGGGGTAACTTGAATATAGGCGATAAAAGTATGTGATAAATGTAAAGTAAGTGCATATTAGCTAAACATGCGCCGAGCGCACTGTAGATATGGATGTCAAGATGTCAACTGAATGTACTTACTTTGCGCTTTCTCACAGTGACTTGGGACGATTGGACATGGGTTTTCAGCCGCGGTTGTCGTGTCTGCAGTGAGAATGCGAGATTGGTGGACGAAGAATGATTGTGACAGCTACTTCAAACTTGCAAGAGTGCGCATTATCGATTGCGCAATTATAGCTAAAGTTCAGTTTGGCTGGGCCCGTTATTTGCCCCCATCACACAATCAATTCAGCTGTTTGATGAACTTAGTTACACAATCGAGCCTAGAACAGCAGTAATCCGGTGAATTCGACAGTCTACCTGAATTTCCTGTACAAATTTCTAAATAAACGCATTATCCAATTGTACCCTAACACATATGCAGGTAGACATTTTTGACTATACCATGAGTCTAAACACAAGTAGCCCAACTATTTGGCTCAATACACGGATACAACAAAAGCCACATAATTTCTCGTCCTGACTACTATCTGTATCGCTTCGCCAGTGAATAAATCGAATAACTGTGAACGAAAGTTTCCTTCAGTGCCATTACGCATTCCCGACAATTTCAAATAGTAGAAATCGACGACAGACTTTGAGTAAAGTTAGGCAAAGAAAGCCAGCCATCAAGCGAAACACAAAGTTGAATAACGAAATTACTAGTTTACAAACGTTTGAAAATATATTTGCGGTTCGATTAGGAAGATCTAAGTTTGCACGCAATAAAAAGATCATACGGCATTCAATAGTTCGCCTTTGCGTCCAATATTTCATTAGTGTAGGATGGGATAAAAAGCATAAGTTTACAAGACCCACAGGATGGATATGCAAAAGAAAATTAAAATCAAAACGTTCCGGCGTGGAAGTTGAAGTATCAGTGGTTAAACCATTGCACTTTATCAAATGGTTTTGTAGGTTTTAACATTAAGATGAACTTCTTAGTGTCTTTCGAATGTCGTAATGTCTGGTGCGTTCACCACATATTTGGTAATGCATTCCATTGAGAACTGATTCTGAGCGAGCAAAAATACTTTCTACAATTCAAACGGGAGCGTTGCGTCATTAGTTTCAGGTGGTTGACTCGGTTTTGTTTGTAAGGGGCTAGAGTCAACATTGATGTACATGGATGCTCTCTTTCAATTAGCATCCGGGATGTGAGGGTAAGATCTCTGCGAAGCCGTCGATATTCCAATGAGAACACACTGAGTACACGAAGACGCAATTCGTAACTTAGACCGGATAGTCTACGCGTTGCCTTTGTGGCTCTTCTTTGGGATTGTACCAATAGGCGAATGTCTCGTTTTAACCATGGACACCAGGCTTGAATTGCATATCCAACGTGAGGGTGAATGTAGGAGTTAATCTGCAATGGTACTAGCCGTCGCTCAAAGGTGTCGAGATCTCGCCACAAAAGTCTCAAGTTCACGTTCGCCACACTTCATTCATTCATTATACACGTTAGTTAGAGATGGGAAACACCTCAGCTACTGGGTCGCAATACATAGAAGAAAAAAGGAGAAAATATGCAACCAGTGCAAGCCGGCTGAGCTACCGGTAACGGCTGGGCCTCGTTCCGAAAAGCAACCAGCCGGCTACCGTGCATTAAAACGAATAACTATGCGAAATTATGTAAGGCTAAATTGTGAGATCGTGATTGGTGGGGGAGGCTAAGAGGGATGGAGTGGGACAAAGAAACTCACAACACGAACGTCGCTGAGGTCGGTTCCTAGCCATATCAGCAAGCGTTTGCAGCCAAACGCATTCATCGTCTTTCGGACCCCAACCAGGGAGTCGAGAAGCTCCAACCGAGGCCAGCTCCGAAGTGAGGGTCTTCATTCCTCTCGATCAAATCATCGCTTAGTCACCCCTACGCTTCTTCCATCCACACCCCCGGCGCGCAAACAACGCACGTCACGGAAGTCGGCGGGCTGGCATGCGTAACATGTGACGGAGCCATCGGATCCTGGTGCGTAAAATATCGGTGTTAAGCGGTTCATTTCCTTTTCCTGTGCCGTAAACAAGGCGTCGAACACACTCGTTGCTAACTCGGCGTTCCCACCAGATATGAGCTAAATTGCGAAGGCATGTGTGGTCGAACGTAACTAGCCGCTTTATGTCCGCTGCTTTAAGGGGCCAGGTTTCGCAACCGTACAATAAGGTCGAACGTACCGCTGCGTCGTACACTCTACGCTTCAGGGCGAGAGGGATGTCGCGCCGCCGCCATAAGTGGCGAAGATTAGCAAAAGCGCCCCGAGCTTTTGCTACGCCGTTCGTGGTCTCATCTTTAATCCCACAGGTGCTGATACAACTTCCCAGATAGTTACAATTTTAACCGACTTCTAGCTGATCCCCACCAAGGGTCAGCGAAGGAGAGGGTCCAGACCAAGTTTGGAGGAACGCTTCGCACTTCGATGGTGCGAAGCAAAGCCTGAAGTAACGAACAGATAGTGCTAATCTGTCCAGTGCCGTTTGGCACGTTTGTGAGCTGTCACAGACGAGGGCAATATCGTCTGCATACTCTAACTCAAGAAGCCGTTCTCCTGGGAGCAGATCCACACCGTCTAATTCGTATCCTGTAAACGCGATTTCCATGACTTCCTCAATAGCGAAATTGAAGAGGAAAGATAACAGCTGGCATCCTTGTCCCACACCGGTGGAGATATTGAAGGGCGACGACAGGTTGCCGTAAGCCTTCACTCTGCTTGCGCTAAGCGCATATAATGCTCAGATAACATTTATATATTTCTCGGGCACACCTTTCCTGAGTAGACAGTCCCAAAGTGCAAGTCTATCCACCGAAACGAAAGCACTTTTGATATCGAGGAACACGACAGCGGTGGGCCCTAAATAAATGTGACGGTGCCCCAACAACTGACGCAAGGTGAAGATGTGGTCGATGCAGCCATGGCCTCGACGAAATCCGGCTTGCTCTTCACGAATCTGGCTTTCACGAGTGCCAGTCAGTCTGTGAAGGATGACAGAGACAAGCGATTTTGAGGCGATGGAGATCAAACTGTCGTCTATGTTTGCCGCATTCCGATCGTGAGCCTCCTTTGAAAATTGGGACTATGACGGAGTGGCTCCAATCGGTTGGGACAGTCTCCTGCACCCTCAGTTTGACTATTAACTCGTGTATACCATCCACAGGAGTAGGTCCCCCGAATTTAATAGGGCTGGATGTAGATCATTTGGTCCCGCGGCTTTGTTCAACTTCAACAGTTAGAGTTCACCTCCGACTTCTGAGCGAGAGGATGGATCCAAATGGACAGCCCAGGGAGCGGGGCGTTCAGTGGCCGGCGAGAAACCTAACAATTCCGACCGATTAAATTGCCTTTCAGAGTGTTCAGCCCAACGCTGCGAGCATTTTGACAAGTTGTGTATAGTCTGTCCACTCTTGTCACAAATTATTTCACTAACACCAGGTCTCCTGTTGCCCGATTACCGTATCAGCCGGAATAACATACGATGGTTACCCAGGGAAGCGTCCATTTTCATCTCTGAAGCACAATGAGACCACCAGGATTCGCCGTCTGTCTTCTGGCTAGCACGGAGTTTTGCCCGGAGCTCTTTGTGAGTTTCATTGTGTTCGCTTCCAGCCAGAATATGCCGACGAGCATCGATAAGTTTCAGTGACTGCGAAGTGACCCAATGTCCATGTTATCGATCAGACATACCACATGAGGATTTTCCAGCTGCTCGTTAGGTCTGGTGAATGTGAGATCAGTGAGCTTCAATTGCGCCCAGTGAGCTTTTATCCAACTCGCATGACAACGTACTTTGATAGGCATTCAGAACAGCTGGCTTCGTTAGTTGGATGGTGCCGATGCGCCCACAGCGTCGTCGTGGGCGTTCGTCAAAGCGCATCGGCAGGTCAGCACATGTAAGTGCATGGTCGGTGTCTAAACCTGTGCTCCAAATAGAGCACACACTTACTGCTTTCGAACATTGGAGCGAATTGCCAAGACTCTCTTGCACGTATATACCTAAGTCGCGTTCACCAGTCACGTATTGCAGGGCGTGTTGCCCCAAAAGGTATATGTTGACGAAGCTGCTGTGCACCGTCAGCAAGTGGCACTGTGCAGGGTTCGAAGCTGGTGTTTTGGTCAACTCCTATCGACGCTTGATTCCGCGCTACGCTCAGCTCTTGCAGCCTCTAACCGACCTACTCAGAGGGAATAAACGTAAATTCGCTTTCCCTGACACAGCACAAACTGCCTTCGCCCAGCCCAAGTATGCTATCTCCAACATAACCATCCCCCTCATTCCGAATAGGCTGTACCCTTTCCTATGAAGTCTGATGCCTCAGACGTCGTGGTAGAAGCCATCCTCCAAAAACACATTGGTAGTCACTGGCAGCTCCTTGGAATCTTCCCCAAATGCCTGCAGTCAGCGGCACGCCGCTAAAGTACGTTTTGTAGAGAACTGCTGTCTATTTACCTAGCCATTCGTCGCTTCCGGCACACACTCGAAGGTTGCGCTTTCACGGTCTACATGGACCACAAGCCCCTAATCATCGCTTTCCACTCTACATATGCCAATATGACTTTGTCATGCAGTTCACTGCTGACATGCGTCACGTCTCAGGTGTCGAAAATCCCGTCGCCGCCACTCTCTCAAGCGTCGACCTCACTCTCCAGTCTTTGCCTATCGTCGATCTTGCCGCCATGACATCGGCTAAAGCTCAAGATGAAGGTATACAGCACACCCTGCAGTCCATTTCGCTGCATGTGCAACCTGTTCCTCTCCACACCACGGAAGAAATCATTTTAAGGCATGCCTTAATGTTAGCGTACCAAAATAGGTCCCTTGCCTCCTTAACGCAGATTTGTATACATTATTACATTGTCCCCCACTTCACCAGATGTCCAGAAGCGTTTCCCGTAAAACACGGCACAGCTGAGACGATTATCCGAGCCTTCTTAGACCGGTGGGTCTCGCACTACGGGTGCCCATCCACCATTACAACTGACCGAGGAAGGCCCTTCGATTCATTACAATTCGATAACTTTGGCAAATATTTAGGCTCACCGCAATCACACGACAACGTATCACCCAGCAGCAAACGGGTTAGTTGAACGCTTCTATAGACAGCTTAAAGTCTC